GTGTGTGTGTGTGTGTGTGTGTGTGTGTGTGTGTGTGTGTGTAAGATGAGCTTCATATTCAAAAAGCATCTGCATTTGGAATTCTGCATGCGGGAGATCAAAATGTTACGATTATATTTTGATCAATCACGGTGGTGTAAAATGTCAAAACCATCAATACATACACAAAATGGCATGCACCATGTAAGAATAACACCTATTTTATCCAGACTGTCTTCATTTTGAGGGTTTCAAAAGAATATTTGGACAGCTGAATCACAGCCTTTTAAAGAGAGAGATGATGGAAAGTGAACATTAATGATCCAATGCATTCCACATCATATGCATATGGAATAGGTAGGTATGGCTGATAATAGAATGGACCACATGGTGTTCATTACCTCAGCCAAAAGTGAAATCAAAGAGGGGAATTGTTTTCAACCCTTTTTGTGTCTTAGTTTAAGTTTCTTAGCACATAGAAGGATTACACAAAATCACGCCAGGGATTTCTGTTAAACTTTGTGGGTGATCATATCAATTATACAATGCTTCTATGTTCGGCATCCATGCTCATGTATGAGAAAATCGTCTGTGAGCAATTCATTGTCGCACTGCAGGCAATCCGGCAGGACTGCACCAACATTGAGGCAAATGATCCCAAAAATGAATGTGGTCTCAACTTTATACATCAACAAAAAATTTATTTAATTATATTTTCTTCCATGCGACAAGCAGCTCCACAAATATGTCTCCATTTGGTTTCAATGGAACGGTTTATCCCCCTACCCAAGAATACACACAGGATGTCTTCGTACACATGTAACCAACACACAATGTAAATTTGTGGAGTTGCTTGTCGCATGGAAAAATAAATTCTTTAAACTTTTGGTGATGAATGAAGATCAGCATGCAAGGATTTTTGGCACTTCAGAGAACAAAATTGGCCCCGCCTCATTGCTGGTGCATTCCTGCCTAATTGTCTGCAGGGAACGAATGAGTCACTCGCAAAAAACTATTTCATGTAACGAGCATGAGTGCCTTAAATGGAAGCATTGTATAATCAATGTGATCATCCTAATGATAGGTATTAATGATCCCTGGCACATTGTGTCAGAGAAAGAAGCAAACAATCTGTCCACATCTGCGCTTCCTACTTTTCGATGTGATGATGGGACTCATGACAGAATTAATGAAATTACCTCAAGTCAAAGTACGAAAAGTATTAAGTATAATGCTATATATTTAACGTCGTCCAAATACCTGTGTAATTCCAAATATTCATCCATCTATCCATTTTCTGATCCACTAATCCTCACAAGGGTCGGGGGGGGGGTTTGTTGGAGCCTAACCCTGCTGTCTTCGGGCAGTAGGCGGGGGACACCATGAACTGGTTGCCAGCCAATTGCAGGGCACACATAGGCGAACAACTATCCACGTTCAAACACTCACACAACTTAAGAGTGTTCCATCAAACTGCTACGCATCTTTTTAGAATGTAGGAGGAAATCGAAGTACTTGGAGGAAACCCACGCAGACACGGCGAGAACATGCAAACTCCACACAGGCAGGCCGCAGCCAGAATCGAACCCTGCTCTTCTGTACTGTGAGGCCAATGCGCAAACTAGTTGACCACCGAGCCGCCATTCCAAATTATTCATCCATCCATCCATTTTCCGATCCGCTTTATCCTCACAAGGGTTGCGGGGGGTGCTGGAGCTTATCCCAGCCGTCTTCGGGGAGTAGGCAGAGGACACCCTGAACCGGTTGCCAGCCTACCGCAGGGCACACAGAGACGAGCAACCATCCGTGCTCATACTTGCACCTCGGGGCAATTTGGAATGTTCAATCAGCCTGCCATGCATGTTTTTGGAATGTGGGAGGATATCGGAGTACCCAGAGAAAACCCACGCAGGCCCGGGGAGAACATGCAAATTCAACACACAGGGAGGGATTGAACCCACAACCTCTGCACTGTGAGGTCAACGCGTTAACCACTGGACTACCGGGCCGCCCATTCCAAATTATTGAATGCCACATTTTTGTGAAACTTCTTCTATTAAAACTGAAATTGTACATATCAACCACGTCATGACTGTGTTCATTCATATGCATTGTGGTGGTGTACATAGGCAAAACCATGAAAAAAAAGCAACTTTATTTCTTAAAACTTTATTATACATACAGCTGTGGACCTAATGGTGAGTCCATCAAAACATGAGACATATTTGGCAAATAATCTTTTAAAAATTGATAATGTATGAACCACTCAAAGGTTTGGACATGCCTTTGCATTCATCACAATTGATCATATAGCATAATAAAGTGTGTCCAAACTTTTGACTGGAACTGTATGTCATATCTGAAATATTTCCCAATCATTTATTGTTCATTGGTCATAACATTGAGCATCATCTGCATAAAAATTATACTAGAACTGTATCAAAAATTATGTCAAGTCGTGTTTATTGATAAGGCCCTGAATCACAAACAGTCTTAAAGGGCTTTGCATGCCCACGGTTGACAAATATTAATGCTTGTACCATGATTTTAATTTGCCGTAGTGCATTAAGAACGGGGTCAAGTGATAAGTAATTTATTGAATTAAAATTATTTGAAAATATACTGAAAGTACTCTTCTGATGCTTTGTCCTTATTCCTAATACTCCTCATCTGTCGATGAAATTATAAGGCTTCAGCTACGTACATAGAGCATTTCATTAAGACAGAAAAAAATATTGACAATTGTGGCCGTGTGATTGGGAGACAACCAGCTCAGGGTGTACCCCCCAAACTGCCCGAAGACTGCTGGGATACGCTTCAGCACACCCGCGACCCTTGCGAGGATAAAGCGGTTCAAAAAATGGATGGATAGATATTGACGATTGTCTGGCGAGCAGACCAGTTCAGGGTGTACCCCACCACCCCTGCCTGAAGACAACGGATATAATCCACCTACCCTTGTGAGGGTAGGCGGTTTGGATAATGGATGGATTATGTTATATTACGAATGTACAGAAATCTAATGACCTGATACTCTTGGTGTATATCCTGGAGCTCTGTCATGGAGTGATCAATGTCGGCCTGCAGAATCATGTTGCTCTCATCAGTCTTCTTCTTTGACTCCCTCAGCACAGCCACCTGTTGCTCCAGATCCAGGGTGTTACGCTCTTCCATGTCACACCTGTAACATGAATGGAGAACACTATTAATCACAAGGTACCGCTGTACAAACATTTGGAGAATGGGGCATATCGTTTTTTTTTTTTTTTGTTTTTTTTTTACACTGCATGTTGTAATATCAGAGATATTAAGACCATAATGCTTTCTGACACATGCCATGGGAGATATGCAAAATGGCTCAATACTCCTTTTCCACAGCTCTAGTTTATTGAAATAAAAAAGAAGTATGAAAACAAATATTTACTATCTCAACCAGAATGGATACTTGCTGCTAGCTTCAAATCAACCAACTAGTACTCACAGTACACACCTTGTTTTTTTTTTTTTTGTTGTTTTTTTTGGACATGCGTTACACTACCAATGTCACTTGCTAACAACTTACACCTACCGGTACTATTATTAGGACTCATTCATGTAGACAATTTGTATCTATTCATTGAAGCAAATAATTAATAGAAGCATGATACACTTATGACTGCAAATTATATCATGTACATTTGAATTATTTATATATGTATAAAATACTGCAGACAGTAAAAATATTTGTCGATTATGGCAATCTGGCCTCGTGCGGGTACATTTGTGACACCTGCTTTCATAAAAAATGCCCGTGCCTGTTGTAGTTAAAAGGCTAAAAGATGGCTTAGAACTTTCAGGAAAGTTACAGACAGATAGAGCTGACCTGGCATGGATGGCAGCAGCTCTGGACTTCATGCTTTCAGACTGCAGTGCCAACTGGGCATTCTCCATCAGTAGTTTGCCAACCTAACAAAAAACAAAAAACAAATGCAATAACAACCCAGATGCAGTGTTCTGTCCATCCATCCATCCATCCATCCATCCATCCATCCATCCATCCATCCATCCATCCATCCATCCATCCATCTCAAGCTCCCAACTTGTTTCTTTTCTACTGGGCTCTGAAAATGTTTGCACACAGAACAAGTGTAGTCAAGCCAGTCAAACCTTTTTCTATAAACTTGGGGTCACGGGCGTCGCTGTAAATTTAAGATAAGAAGATAAGAAAACCTTTATTCGTCTCGCAATGGAGAAATTCCCAATTCACAGCAGCAACGTTATGAATGGAAGAAGTAGAACAACAAAATATATTTGATGTTTTTATCATTTTTACTTATTTTGGTTGTGTAAACTTGACATGAATACAAGATGCATGACATTTCTGACCTTTGATGCATGCATGACCCGAAAAAATTTCAGATACACGGAAATATTTGTCATTGTTTTTTTTTTTTTTTTGCTGTGACATTTAACTTGCATTGGGGCATATCAGGTCCAACAAACGACTGCCACAAAATGATTGCACCGTGTAGCAGTTGGCACTCACTTTGTGCATCACTGTGCTGCCATGAGTACTGGAGTGGAAAAATTTTATCCCACACACCAAAATGTATTCTATTTTTGATAATGAGTCATTTGCACATGGTTAATTGGCCAGTCTTCTTCGTGCTCTTCCATTTATCTGTGTCAATCCATTTTTTTGTGAATAAAGTGTGTGTAAGAGCTCATTGGATTGAATGAAAACATGAAGTACAGCGTACTGTTGCCCTTGAATTTAGTAGCTGAAAGTAGAATTCATATTCTTTTTTGCTAAGTGTTTAAAAAGAAGGAAAGCAAATGAAAGAAAATCGGAAATAACAGACTATGTTTTCAACCTCATAAAAAAAAAACAAAAAAAATAAACCTTCCACAATTGTTTTAGCATGACTGTAAAACATCTCCGGGACATGACACAACCTTGCGTAAGGAGAGCCAAATAGAGTACAACAAGGAATGTGTAAACCATTTATCGGATTTAGAGTTTGATGCGCTCAATATGTGTGGGTTTCACTACACTCGATACTCCCGAGCCTTCGTAAACCCCTGTGAGATCAGTGGATCAAAAACTACTTAAGGTTTTAGCAGATTATTAGAATAAATGAATGTGCTCCAAATAAGAAAATCTAATCTTATGCTTTTATATGAAAGGCACAAAAGAGGAGAAAGCAGTCAAATTTGATGTGCTTCAAAGACATGACACAATCTTGGCGCTACGCACAGAAAACAAATGTAACGACAAACTTTTTTTTGCAGAGTGCTATGAAAGAAAATCAACAGAGACATGTAATACCACAATAAAGTTAATCCCATAAAGTGAATGATGCCATAATTCCTAATTGTTTTCATGTTTTCAATGATATTCTCGCATATAATTTATTGCTTCACAAATGGGACACACACAACAGAAACTGTACTAAAACCCTTCAAGTCTCTCTTCAAAAAGGCAGTTAAAATCCTTGATAGGAAACCAATGCACTTGCACAATTGTATCATTCTAAAAAAAAAAAAAAAAAACTTCACATTCTCAACCTGGATAGCTACCAGATTTTTGTGGATGCCTGTCTCATTTACAAAGTTTTAAATGCACTTGCCCCTCCACCTTTGGATAAATTCATTCAGAGGCGAAACAGTGATGGTCTGAGAACTCGGGCCTTGATGAGAAGTGATTGCAATATAACAAGATATAGAACAAAATTCGGTCAAATGGTCACTTCCGTAAAAGGAACGCAACTCTGGAATAAAATGCCAATACACAATAGAGACTGTGATTGCTTTGCACTTTTCAAAAAAGAAAAAAACATCCATCAGACATGCACCTACGAAACACCTTTTCCAGACTCCAGCCCGCTCCAATGGGCTTCCGGCTCACCAATTTGTAGACCTAAGTGATTTGTCTGTCCTGGTTTTTGGTCTTGTAATTGAGTACTGCAACTTTTTGTAGCGTTTCTTTCATTTTGTCTTCCCTATTTGGTTTTTATTTCTTTCATTGTGGTCTTAAAGTTTTATGTGTCTCACTGTGCTATTTTAGAATCCTGCCTTGGGACTACGGCTGAAAATGAGCCTTTATGCTAAGTCGGGGTGCATTTACACTGTTTATTCTTGTGTTGATTAATGTGCGCTGTCCCAATGAATGAATAATTAAATAAATAAATAAACAAATAAATGTGTGATAACGAGGCTCATAATTGCATATCAAAGTTTTAATTCCTTTCTTATTCTGGATTCAAAATGTATACATTACAGCTCACGCACTCGTAAGATGCACTTGTTACAAACTAGAAACTTCTCGTCTACTTGTAGATGAAATATTGTGACATATTTCAGTGTTCAGAGGTTAGCGACTGGCTAGCACTCAAAAATGCTCCATAACATGAGCCTTTCAACACCTTTATGGCCAGAGAAGAGATGTTATTTGCATGGTGTTTCTAAATGGCTATGTTCCACTGTCATGTCATGATCATTAACTCTACAAATAGCGAGTCCCTGTGTGACAGCAGTGAATTTTATACAGTCACACAGCCTCGGTATTAGACATAATAGTCTTGCATTGGTCGTTTTTGGTAGGAAATATGTCATTGCGTTGTCAGAAACAAAGCATCAGGTGCATCCTATATAATCATACACTCTTGATCAATTATTAATTTGTCTTACCTGAGCACGGAGTTCTTTCACGGCTTCTTCCTGCTTGGACCAGTCCTGAGTGCACAACGTGTTTCTCATGCCCCTGACAGCTATCTGAACTTCCAATTGTTGGTTGGTCTCCTGCAGCCTGTTCACCTGCTCCAGGAAGCCCTTCAAACGAGTGTTCATTGCCCACATGATCTGATGGGAGTTCTGCAGCGAGTCCATGCTAAATTCACTTGTGTCCACTCGGAGACACTGATAATTTCGGTCAGAGGACAGACATTATTGGTCAGGCTATTATTTGTCATTTTAAAAGAAACACAGCACACGTACTTACTTCGTTCCCAGCAGATGTGATAATTTCTACACCCGTAGGTACGGCTAACCGTCACACTTGTTCTAGGGCACGCAGTCAGAGGCGTTAACTAAGTAAATGTTTACCCAGTGATACTCACGCGAGGTAACGTGACCTCCCAAGCATAAAAGACAACAATTGCAGTCAAAAAAATTCTCCCAGTCTGTCTTAGTTGGTCACAAGAATCCAAAGAACCTCTCCTCTGTGCACAGCTTAGCACATTCCTCTCGAGAGGACCGGTCAATACTTTCTTCTTCCCACTGCGTGTGAGGTCATCGTCAGCTGGCCCCTGAGATGGACTCAATGAACTGCGATCAAACTACTCTGAGAAAACGTGTGGTTGTGTAGTCTTGATGGTCAACCAACAGCAGCAACCCTCGACTGTTACAAACACATAGAAAATAGGCGAGTGGGGAGCAGTGGGGGTCAAACACAGTGCTTATATCACGAGCAGCCCTGCGGGGCCCTTTGTCCACTCTGATCCAGGATTACTTAGCTGCTTTCAAACACACTGAAACACAATGTTCAGGGAGCCCTAATAATACGTCGTGCATCAGACACTGAATTCCGTATTTTTGTGCTGTTTTTGTTTAAATTAAATTCATTAAACTCACATACACTGCTCTCACATCAGTAAAGATTGACTAGTCGATTTTTAGAGCCAAATTTAGTTCTGACTGTCTGGGCAAGATTAAAATCTGTTTGGTACTGCAAATGCTCCTCAGATTCATCCAGCAAGATGGTTAGTGGTCTTTCTCTTTTGTAGCGCTTTTCCACCGACAAGACCCTCAAAGTGATTCACACTGACTCCTCGTTTGCTTGTTGATGACATGACATCAGGAGCAACTGGGGGTTCGGTATCTTCTTCAAGGACACTTCAACGTGGTCACAAGTGCCAGCGATCAAATCCACAACCTCGGGGTTGGGAGGTGACCACTCTACCACTGAGCCGTGCACCCCCAGCCCCATCTTCTGATGACAAAGAAAATGCATGTTATCATCTCAAGAATACAAAGCTAAATTGGATTGACCAAAGCAGCCAAATGGCCATTCCACCTCCAGGAACTGAAATTGGTTGAAAATAAAAGATATTTACACCAAACACAATTAAGCATGCCCTAATTGGCCTTGCTTTGTGTACCTGGACACAGTCATGATTTAGTGTCATCAGGGTTCTTTTTGCGTGTTGAGCTACAGACAAGGAAGATCTCACCTATGGTAGGCACGACACCAGAGCTCGGAGGGGCTATGGCCCTGTCAGAAATCTGTCTAGCCCCACTTCTGCCCTCCGCAGAACATTTATTTAGTTCACAATTAAGGAGTCATTCCCTTGCAATACAATTCCTGTTTGCACGTTTGGGCTGCAGCTGTATCCCATGTCTGTTTGTGAGGGCAGGAAAGGGTGGGATGAGTCTTTCAGTTACTTGTGCATTAATTCGGAAAATAATCTCAGACCGCGCACTGGTTCACTGCGACTGTTCGTAAACTTAATGTCGTTTTTCCATTAGCCCCAAAGAGCCCCACAGCACACCACTCCATGATGCCCAGCACCGCACCGCATGGCCTCCATTGTTTTTCCATTACAACAGGCATGTGGCGGGATGGGGGCGAGAACAACTGCATTGTGCAAGCTTGCGCTGCGTTATTCACACTCGCAGCGTGTCATACCATTTTATAAGCGGTGAGTCTCACCCAATGTTCTTTGAAGCAATTCAAAATATGAATTGCTGTTGCGTGATGTGGGGATGACACAAATTGCAGCCCATTAAATGCACAGAAGCTTTCACATTGATGAAAAATCAATTTCCGGGTTTAAGACACCGGTCAGTTGCCTTCAAGGATTGCATGGCTTTTGCGTGGCATGAACTGGTAAAAATGGAGCAACCAGATAGCAACTAATCCACAAAGCACACGCAGATGGTTAAATGAGTCACTAACTGAGGTGCCAAGCAGAATGACTCTCGGTGCGCCGGTGGTATTTGCACATATTTAAATGAGGTAATATTTGTCGGAAAATTGCATACCTCTATGCAAATGAGCCTTATTGATAAACAATGTCAAATTGTGCGAATGGCCGCCCACATTTTGGGGGCGCAAACAACATCCACAGAAAACTGGTGTGCAATTGTTATTATTCTGTGTAATCCTCGTTGAGTGAGCGGGAGTATTGCCAGAGCAATGTGAGTGAACACTTTGACATAAACAAGACACGTCATCCAAAATTATCCCCCCGCCCCAGTGTATACACTGCACACATTTTGTGTTGTTCCAACAGTATTAAACCATGTTTACAATTTCATATGTAACATGGATGAAAGTGAGAACTCAAACGTGAATGTTTACCTGCCAGTTGAGTAGAAGCACCTGTGGCAAAAGCCAAACTGTTTCAGGGTTTTTACTTTCTGGACCTGGATTCAATGCCTCTGCACATCACATCTTTACAAGGAATTAGATCAATAAGTAATATCAATAATGTAGCAGGAATTACAACATTGTTATCAATTCCCCTAGTCCTGGGTGATCTTTTCCACCCCTTCCAAGATGTTCCCACTTCCTCAAACTCTGCCTTGACTGATCGACTGCAGGTGTGCTTTGGTTTTCCTGGCTCTCTTTTACCCTGGGGGTTCCAGGAGAAGTCTTGCCTTGTCGTGTTGAAGGGAAATTATCTCCTGATCTGTGATTCAATTTCTTCTTGTTTGATAATGATCCACAGGTGTTCATTATTTATTATTTCTGGCTTGTGATTTCCCATAATATTTTGCAAACATCTGATTAAAAAGGGCTGAAGATAAACGGTTGTTGTTTTTGTGATATATATATATATATATATGGAGAAGTCTTGCCTTGTCGTGTTGAAGGGAAATTATCTCCTGATCTGTGATTCAATTTCTTCTTGTTTGATAATGATCCACAGGTGTTCATTATTTATTATTTCTGGCTTGTGATTTCCCATAATATTTTGCAAACATCTGATTAAAAAGGGCTGAAGATAAACGGTTGTTGTTTTTGTGATATATATATATATATATATAGAGCGTCTGGATAGCTCAGTTGGTAAGGCATCGGTTTGGCGTACGGGAGACGGTGGGCAAGATCCTTCACGCTATGCCTACCTCATACAATGCAAGATCCTTCACGCTATGCCTACCTCATACAATGATGACAATAAAATGAATGACATGCTGGCTCAGACGTCGCCCGGCCAAACAAGGTCTGCGTCAGGTGCTGGGGAACCAGAGCACCTTGATGAAAAATGGGCTACTGGAACAAAGCGGAGATGGGCGAGATGCGATAACATGGCTCTGTTGGAATGCTACTACTCAAGCAACCC